ATAGTTTGGCGATTTTGGCGATTAATTGCCATTTCTGCCATTTTCGCCAAATACGCCATTTTCGCCGAAATCGCCACTTTGCAAAGGGCCCCTTTGCCATCTCATTTGAATTTTTGTTTATAGTTTGGCGATTTTGGCGATTAATTGCCATTTCTGCCATTTTCGCCAAATACGCCATTTTCGCCGAAATCGCCACTTTGCAAAGGGCCCCTTTGCCATCTCATTTGAATTTTTGTTTATAGTTTGGCGATTTTGGCGATTAATTGCCATTTCTGCCATTTTCGCCAAATACGCCATTTTCGCCGAAATCGCCACTTTGCAAAGGGCCCCTTTGCCATCTCATTTGAATTTTTGTTTATAGTTTGGCGATTTTGGCGATTAATTGCCATTTCTGCCATTTTCGCCAAATACGCCATTTTCGCCGAAATCGCCACTTTGCAAAGGGCCCCTTTGCCATCTCATTTGAATTTTTGTTTATAGTTTGGCGATTTTGGCGATTAATTGCCATTTCTGCCATTTTCGCCAAATACGCCATTTTCGCCGAAATCGCCACTTTCCAAAGGGCCCCTTTGCCATCTCATTTGAATTTTTGTTTACAGTTTGGCGATTTTGGCGATTAATCGCCATTTCTGCCATTTTCGCCAAATACGCCATTTTCGCCGAAATCGCCACTTTCCAAAGGGCCCCTTTGCCATCTCATTTGAATTTTTGTTTACAGTTTGGCGATTTTGGCGATTAATCGCCATTTCTGCCATTTTCGCCAAATATGCCATTTTCGCCGAAATCGCCACTTTCCAAAGGGCCCCTTTGCCATCTCATTTGAATTTTTGTTTACAGTTTGGCGATTTTGGCGATTAAGCGCCATTTCTGCCATTTTCGCCAAATACGCCATTTTTGCCAAAATCGCCACTTTCCAAAGGGCCCCTTTGCCATCTCATTTGAATTTTTGTTTACAGTTTGGCGATTTTGGCGATTAAGTGCCATTTCTGCCATTTTCACCAAATACGCCATTTTCGCCGAAATCGCCACCTCCAAAGGGCCCCTTTGCCATCTCATTTGAATTTTTGTTTACAGTTTGGCGATTTTGGCGATTAAGCGCCATTTCTGCCATTTTCGCCAAATACGCCATTTTTGCCAAAATCGCCACTTTCCAAAGGGCCCCTTTGCCATCTCATTTGAATTTTTGTTTACAGTTTGGCGATTTTGGCGATTAAGTGCCATTTCTGCCATTTTCACCAAATACGCCATTTTCGCCGAAATCGCCACCTCCAAAGGGCCCCTTTGCCATCTCATTTGAATTTTTGTTTACAGTTTGGCGATTTTGGCGATTAAGCGCCATTTCTGCCATTTTCGCCAAATACGCCATTTTCGCCGAAATCGCCACTTTCCAAAGGGCCCCTTTGCCATCTCATTTGAATTTTTGTTTACAGCTTGGCGATTTTGGCGATTAATTGCCATTTCTGCCATTTTCGCCAATGTGTGCATTTCTGGACATATCTCACTTTCACACTCGTGTACCTGGGCATCATTACTCATTCCTTTATTACTTGTAAACTGCACCTTAAGCAGTCTGGCAAAGTCCCCCAACCAGTTTTGTAAATTATCCCTGAAAAGCCCTGAGGAGAGTGGATAATATGATATTTACATATTTTACATAATTTAGGAGAGGTTCCACTGTCAATGATAAATTTGCCTATTGAATCTTTTGTACTGACTGTAACTTTAAAAATTGCTACTCTTTCATATACTTAAAACCTGAAAAAGGCACCCCCTTTCGTGCTGAACCTCACCTTATAACAAGGAGCCGAGGAACAGAAAATGACTAAAGAAAAGGAAGGATTCTATGTGTCAAATTTTGGACCTAACGATACTGAGACTGGCACGGCAACAAGAACGTCAAACATTCAAGGGGTTTAGTAAGCAAACCAATAACTCTGCACCAAGAGAGGATAAAGGGGACAGAGAAGGCATCCCCTATACAAACCCTATTCCATAGGTAATTCGTCTCGAGTTATTTTTTTTAGAATCGGGATAAAGTTACCTCGCGCGAGGCGTGGATGTTTCGTGGAGGTTTCGCATGACCAAACGCCGTGCAAAACATGTCGGGCGAGAGGCAATGAAAGCGTAAAAAGATCGAGAGCATTTCTGAATATTTAAGCGGAATGAGTCGGCGCTCACCTGGGAAAAGGGAGTCGCTGGACTCTCTGACAACCCGTAAAATCAGTTTAACTCGAAGTTGTCGTAACCTCAGTGCTTTAATAAAATGAGAAATTTCGCCGGTCTATTGAAACCGGTCGTTTGTACAATAAAGCAAGTAGGATGCCCAGTGATATTTTTGTTGAATAATAAAAGACTAATAAAAGAATAAATATCAAACCACAAAATTGCCCTCTTCAAACTGTAAACTATAAATGATCCTGAGAGAATATACAGTGTGTTAAAGATTTCCCTGCTGTACTGCTAGCTCTATACTCTCCTACATTTCGCTGACACCGCTTTAGTAGAAATCTCTCTTTAGTCGTTTTCGTCGACAAAACGAATAGCAATATCGCTCTCCGGGTCTTCCACCACTTTTTCAGCGTCAATTCGTGAAGGACGCGTGGCTCTGAGCGTTGGTCATCCACGCGGAACACATTCGCGCTATGTGATTGGCTGTTGTCTAATCCCCCTTGGTATCTGTGGTCTTAAAAATAACTCGAGACGAATTACCTATGGAATAGGGTGTGTATGGGGGATGCCTTCTCTGTCCTCTTTATCCTCTCTTGCTCTGCACATGATCACGCCCTTCTGTTAATTTATTTTGCCATCTCTGCACAACTGAGACGTGAAATTACCAAACGCCAAGGTCATCAATTTTACTGTATCTTTCTGAGCTGGGACGCGGTCCTCCCTCTTCAACTCCAGCTTAATTTCTCCTCTGAACGAGTTGGAATAATGGGAAAAGAGTTTGAAAGGAAGCGAAGTCAGGGTTTCAATGACGATTTCACTGCTTCACCGTTGTCAAATCGTAAGGTCCCTATTTTAGATGTGCGTCTCATAGAGGTATGCTTTATAACAGAGTTGACTGTGTTGTATATAATGTCAAATAATGTATTTTTTCATAACACTAGCAGAAGATAAAAATAAGTTATATCTTAGAACAAATTTTGGTGATTACATTTTGATTTGTATCACTAGTGGTTTGGTCGTCTTGTGTCTTTTATGCAAAGTGTGTTTGGACGCCACTTTTGTTCCAATCCCTGGCGCTCATTCGCACCACCTCCCCTCCCCTTCCCCCAGAATATCCGGTTGAATATGTCTTTGAAGTCGAATCAGGGGTCGATTTAATAAAACTTTAACACTTGTAATTTAAAGTGTAGCTGTTGTTTAAGAGTCTGAAAACCATATATATCTACAATTGTAAATTACACTTGTAAAAGGTTTATTAAATTAGCCCCAGTATCGATTCTATCGGTGAGAATGACGCCATGAGGTCTCCGTAACCCGGGGACATTATATCGTTAGCTTTTATATTACTTCTTTATGTATCTCAAAATTAGTATTTATAGCTTTTTTTTTAGACTACTACTTTTTGCAGTGATACCCCACTGATATGATTCAAAGAGGAAGAATTACAGGACACCAGGGGGAGGGGTGTGGGAACCAGCCCTCTCTCCTCCCGTCATGCCTGGGACGATCTGATAATGAAGAGACTATGGTATTTGGCGGTGCTAGGGATCTGTTACGTCATTCAACTTCATCTTTCTTGTTTCGGATGTAGATTCACACCCAGTCGCAGTTCGTGTTTTGAAATAACCTCCGTGGTTTTCATATTTTTCTGCGCCCTCCCCTCCCCTCCCCTTTCTGTACATGCTCCAGTCAGACCCTTCATTGTTAGCAGTTGCGTGTGACGTTCAGTCCATTCTAACTCATTTAACGCCAACGTTAGCAGTTACTTCAGCTCAAACTCTTCATTTTAACTCTAGCCTAAACGTAAGCAGTTTCGTCTGACATTGGGTTTTAATTGCAGCAGGCGTCCGATGTTTTTGAAGTATGCCCCCGCAATAAAATCAGAAAACTCGGGAAATACGTTTTACGATCAGTTTTATTGCTGCACTTTTACAATGTTTAAAAATCCTTTAACTTTAAATTTTGCTTTCTCATTAAAAAAAACTTATGGGAATACTGCAATTCTCGGTTTTCACACGACGTCACCAAAATTCAAACTAAGGCAATATCGATCATTGTGAATATTTTGTTTCATGAGGTATTACAGCAGCTAAACACCTTTGTTTACAGCTATTTCGATATAGGTTGTCGGAAGAAATGCGCACGCGACAATCCCGCAAGATTATTTGGGATATTGTCAATACACTGTTGCTGGCAGTGTAGCTGTGGAACATTCTTTTGTTGCTTTCCTTTAGCACTCGCAAATACGTCCATGGCCTCTCGTGCCATTCTTAAAAGTTTCTTTGAAGAAAAGTGAACTCAAAACCACCTACAATACCTTTGGGGATTGCCGCGTGCACTTTTCCGACAACCGTTCTCGAAATAGCTGTATAAAAATGATCGCCGGTTCGAAAGGGCTCTTCGTTTTGCGATAAAGGAACGCTTGAATTTCCAACTTTATGAGTTCCTCAAGCGATGAATGAGTCGGTTGGTTTCCGGTGGCCACATTTGTGCCCCTCAAAGGGACACCAACATGGCGTCTCCATACAGAGCTTTGTAAATTTGGACAAAACATCTTTCCGAATATCTCTCGCAAATGAAGTACCGCACAGACCTGATTTTTGGCGAGGTGTTTTGTATATTGATCTTCTTTCCTAGATTCTTAACTTTCTTTAAAGGGTTTCGGTTTTTATTTTTGATGGCGTGACAGTGAAAACAGAGAATTGATAGACGAAACGAGCACAGTTCAATAGTCAAACTTGAGTTAAGTGAGAAAGATGGTATAGCAAAATTCCCTTTAATCCCTTACATTTTTTAAAACCTTCAAAAAAGTACCATTTGAATCTCTTATGTCACACAAAGAGAGCATAGACATCAGCGCACACTTTTCCTCCATTATCGCCGTTTAGCTTGACTAAGTTTTCACCGTACCACACGCGTAATTCTTGGTTCGGATGGACCCATTTGGGAGACGTAAAGAAGTGCAGAACAAGCTCAGGTGAGAGGGAATTATATCCGGGAACCTTGTACCACTTTAAGTTGCTGACCTTCTGGAACTGAATTGGTGGGAGTAGAATGTGGTTGTTTGAATCTGTGATGACAACATTGACTTGAGTGTTTATCCCGCTCCACTGACTCTCACCACAGCCCCAGTAGGACCAGAAAGTTGGATCTGCAGTGTGACAAGACACGTATCCGTACAGATGAACCAGCTTTACGGCCGCTAATCTTCCCCCGGGAACGTAAAATCTTCCGAACTGGCTGCCTTTTGCTTCAAAACAAACTGGCCATTTATTTACTTTGCGCCAGCCAACTGAAAGAACAATTGATTTTTAATTTGAAATTAAATTCGATTATCCTCTTGGAATTTTTTGAGACTTCTCGATGAAATACGCACAACAGTTTCTATATTTGTTAAAAACGCTTAGAGCCCCCTCTTTAAGCAGAAGGTGAAGTAATCAAAGTATGCCTTTCACACCCCGCTGCCAGGTCAATAATTGAAACATTTTTGTACATACTGTATACGATATACAAACAAGGAAATTGTGTATCATTCACTGCCTTACCCGAGATAAATTGGAGTAGAGAAAGCGGGCTGTAACTTTGGAGGGTTACAGGAAGGTACTAGCGCAGGATTGTGAGTTTTCAGTCAGCTGCTTTAACATGTAAGGCTTGAGTTTATGATAATCATAAGGAGAAGCAATTTCTTAAAGAATCTAGATATTAAATTCCCACAGCAGAAGCTTTAGGAAAACAATCGAGAGTAAAAATCAGCGATATTGTAATGTGTAATGACGTTTTGATGTCGTCATGTCATTATTGACTTCAAATTCAAAAGTAGTTGCACTTGTAAAATAAACCTAGTGAATTAATATGCAAAATTCCATTTATTCCAATGCCAATGTTCGTTTAAAGCAAAGAGCTTCAAACCGATAGAATCGGCTTGGGTTGGGTGTTTTTAAGCGTAGATTAGGCGGTTAAAGAGAAGCTCGTTCAAACCTTCCTTGGGACTTAACGAAGAATGTGAAAAGACTTCCCTTTGAGTTTCGTACCTTATTGGTACCAAATTTCGCGATTTTGGCTAGAGTATTTCAGGGGGTTACATTTTCACGCTTGCAACAGCCGGGCAAATTTGAAAACAAGGCATTAAATTTCGCGATTTAATAGTTCTCAACTTCATTCTATTTCTCAAATTGTCTGAACTTTTTACAATTTATAGATATACTGGAATAAAGAATGTGTGAAACCTTTACAAATTAACGTTATTTCACATTCAACCGAAGATAGAAAATGGAACCTACCAGTAAAACCAGTTAGCAATTTTTCTCCTCCTTTGTTGATACCCTTGTATATGTTGTTGCTATGTTAATATATTTTTTTTCTGTAATTTGAATTTTCTTTATGGGTATTAAATACGGAAAGCGTGTTGAAATATCGCGAGAATTTTTATTCGCAGGTCTTTAATTTCGCCATTTCTTTCTTCAACTGCGAAAAACGCAAAAATACTTTTACTTTGAAAGACCCGCGAAATTAAGTACCAATAAGTTAGTTAAATTCAGTTACGATACACTGTAATCATACATCTTAGAGAAAAGATAGAGATCTGATCTATAGTCTGAGAAAACCGAGACTTGCCCAAAACTCGAGCTGTGGGCCGGACTATGTGAAAGCCGAGCGCGACGGCCGAGGGAGTTCTACAAAAAAATGAGAGCCAAGCGAGGGACTGAGTGCGACGAACTAGAAAGAAGATCACCGAACCGATCAAAGGACTTTGAGTGCGGTGATCAATCAACAAACCTGAGGCGATTTCTCTCTTCAGCCTGTTCAGCGAATCAGAACGGTCATTTACCGAGGGATCATTCTGCTTTGACGCCAGCACTTGGGTGACTTCTTGCCGGGGAATACTCTCCGCCAACAGAGACAACGCGCCGAGAGAAAAAACGAGAGCAAAAACCCAAATCAACTTCATTGCTGGGTGGACAGACAACTTGAATAACGTACTCGGTCTAAAGTGTGCTGTTCGGTTGTGTGGCTAATTTAACTTTTAATTCCTTGCACAGATTTTTTACCCCGACCAAACCATTCAATCTGTTCGTGTTAAGACAAGATCGGCTCACATTGGCTTTGGCTGTAGATTCATCGTACGCCCTGATTGGTTCCGGAGCACTGAGCGATTATATTAAGCATCCGTTTACTGAGGTGCCCTATCTGAGCGGCTGTCGATAAATCCTGGAACATGCAGTTCTTTCTCATCCTATTTGTTATTATTTTACTTATCTACAATTTTTTTCAACCGCGGCGACAGCTGTACAGAATGATGAAGGCGGTAAAACAGATTTATCGCAAAACAAACAAAACACTCTGAGCCTAAACAAGGTTGAGAAATATTATTTAAAATGACATGGAGAGAAAAATTAAATTCAAATTCTTCCTCTGGCTAAATATTTATGAATACTGTATTGGGAGTTAATTCATCAAGAGACTAAACAAAATTTTACATATTCTTTTCAACAAGGATGAATATATTTACAGAAAGGGTAATTTTCTTTTACCTAACACGGCCAATTCAGTGCCGAACATTAATGATGGAAACAAGTTTGCTATATGCAAAAAAAAAAGGCGAATATTCATAAAACCACGTAATCCATGAACCAAACAAAATGGGAAGACGAAGGACCGCCTGATCGCTGGTTCCTCCGCGGTACAACAGGGATGTTGTCACCCTATCGTTATCACGTCGTTAAGCGCTGGAATTGTACAATTATATAGTGGACTTGTTAACAGGGGGATCCTGCATTAGAGCGATTTTACTTGACACCGTAAAACAGATACTAGCCACTAATAAGTGCAAAATAGCAACCGGTAAACAAAAGAAGACAATGAAACTAGTGCGTAATAGTGCCTAGTATTTTACTACCTATTTCACTCGTAAAGTAAAACAGTCTAGAAAACAACACTGGCCGTGTACGAGCATCTGCCAGTAAAGGCTTGATGCTTAAGGAAAGAATACTCGTACAAACTGTCACTTCTTTCAACTAAAAAGGCCCCACCTCAATAATTATTGAAACCAAAGTAATATAGAGAGTGGATTATTTGCAGCACACTCAAAGCATACGCGTATAAAAAACATTCGACAACTCAGCGACCCGTGTAATATACGTGCGCAATTATCATGATACGCTGACGCAATACAAGAAATTGCTTAATTCTGAAAAGAATGATTATTTCAATGCCAAAATTTCTGATCTAGAAAAAACTGCAGACAACTCAAATGCGAGAACTTTCTGGAAATGTCTCAAAGCGATGGATGGCACTAAGAAAGGATGTCCCATCAATCTCGGAGGAAAATTGGCCGCAATAGTTTCCTAACTCTTCATGAGCCTCTTAAGAGCGACGGTCAGGAAATAGCAAGAGTTGAAAAATCGATTTACTTCATTTTTAGCTTTTAGGTAGATAAGTAATCTGATGTAATCTGATGTAAGTTGTTCTCGCAAAAAGCCTTTTATTTTCGAGAAAAGTAAGAATATTGGTTTTCGTGGCCGGAGTCTCAAAATGGCCGTATTTTCAACCCAAAATTTGCTAACATCAACTCTCCTCGCGTTCGCAAATAAAGCCGCAAGGAGAAATTTGGACACTTTTCATCAACAGAACAACTCTTCTTCTTTCACTAGAAGATACTTTCACGATCAAAGCAATATCAAGTCTCGTTGAACTAACATAATTCAAAAACGAAGAACAGGTTTTTACGGTGACAAAAACTTTAATTTAGTAGTTGTTGTCTGCGGCGTTATTCTTCCTGTGGTATAGTTCCAAATTTTCCTGGTCCTCGTTCAGTTCACACATTTAGACATTCATCTAAAACATACCTGAGAATTAGCTTGGATTCCTTGAGGCAGCCTCCAAACGATTAAGCATCGAAGTCCGGTAAAAATAGTGAAGCGTGACCAAAATAACTTATTTAACGGCTCCAAGTTTCCTCGATCGTAAAGTAACAATGCGAAATATCTTCCTGTTCCGTCATCCTTAGCGAATTACCATTGTCAAAGTCCTTATTTTTCGATAAAACGTGAGAACTAGAAAAAGCGCGTTGGATTTTTTTCTTCTTCAAATAATGTCGGGATCGAATATGTTACTCTTTCAAGAATTGCGTTGCGTTACTACCCTCATTCCGTGACTGACATTTTGACGGCTCCGCCTCTTCAAAAGTACGTTATGTCACGTGCAGTCACGAAACAGATTGCCACTTAGAGTCGCTGGCTGGTATAGTTCAGTGTCTCAAAATGGCTAAAATTGACCCAGTTTCACCTTATTACCCCACTCTTTGATTGAAAAAAGGAATTTTGCAATGGGAAAACCTACAAGAAGTAAAAACACGAGCCTTTAGGCTGTAAATATCTACTTTGTGCCTTTAGAAATTGGAAATGTCAACACAATAGATCTTGTCACGGTTTTCGACGCCATCTTGACGAGTAGGCAAACGCGTGAGAAATTACAGTGTTTGTATGAGAATATAATGTCGAATAACTTCCGTAGAACGGCTGTTCTGAAAAAAATATGAATTGTAAACTAAAGCTTCACTCCNCGGTGTTGGCCGAAGGCCGAAGCCACGAACCGGACGGAAACCGCTCTAAGAAAAGTCTCTGGCACCCAGGAGGTCAAGGGTTCGAATCCCGTACAAGCCTGAATTTTTTCTGGCTTTCTTTCGCAACTGCGAAAGACTGTGTCAAAATGCGATGATCTTCTTTCATATAATTCAGCTGACTTTGTTTAAAGTCTTAAAAACTTTCGAGGCGAACGTTTCTGCCGCGCGCCCCTGGGTCAGATGTTTAACTCATGGTGCATTTCATTAACCATATACAACATACATTCCAGAGATTGGCGTCTTGGTTTCACAATACTTTGGACGATAATTTGAAGTTTCTTCGCTTGTAACTCAGGCCTGCTTGTAACGTAAGGTAACGAAACTGACAGCTTGTACAGTAAGCTAATGTTAGGCCCACATTAATAATCGTTTGAACGAGTTTAATCTCCTTTTCTTCATCAGTTTTTCAAGATCAGTTGAACTTATGCTTGTGAACATGACTGTAAAGGCATGCACTTTCCGATCCGTTAAAAAATTAAGCCCTTAAATATCATTTTAAGACACTTTACCGTCTTACCGACTGGTACGTATCGGGTTAAGAGGACATGTTTAACTCAAGCCTGAGTCGACGTCTCTATTAAAAAAATATGCTTCAAGTGATACCACAGGACCACAGGGCACCCGGACTCACAACAACCTACTGGAAGCCAAATATTATTATAAGGATTTGTGTGGGAATTTATCGTAAGATCGATAAAACAGTTAAAATGTACATAAACAGCTATCAAAGCATACATACTTCAACAAGAGTTGTGTCTGTGTTGTTTTCTTACTGTTTCCAGCCCTATGAACACCATTTTTTAATAGCAAGTTTTAATGTTTTGGTTTCTCAACTACTAAGAAGAAGACAAGGGAAAACTCGGCTGTCCTACACTACGCGAAGAAAAAGCTACAAAAATTACTTTTCTTCCACTCCAATCGCTCCAAACCTTCACTTGAGCATAGACCAAAGATTTTCCTTTCTTGAAAAGGAACCCTAACCCTTTTTCCTTGCCTTCTTCTTAGTAGTTGAGAAACCAAAACATTAAAACTTACTAAAATGGCATTCATAGGGCTGGAAAGAATAAGAAAACAACTCAGACACAACTCTTTATGAGGTATGTATACTTTAATAGCTGTTTGTGTACATTTTAACCTTTTTATCAATCTTACGACAATTTCCCATACAAATCCTATTATGGGAGGGGGGGGGGGGGGGGGGGGGGGGGGGGGGGGGGGGGGGACTGGGCGCAGCTGGAATTGACTGGTGCATAAGTCATATTTTTTTCCGATCAGCCATTTTACGGAAATTATTCGGCATTAGATTTTCATACAAAACACTGTAATTTCTCACACGTTTGCCTTCTCGTCAAAACCGTGACAAGGTCTATTACCGTCGGCCTACCATGAAAATTCCTGAACTTCGATGGTGTCTTACAGAGATTACATTCAATAACCCAAGCCAATTCCTAGGTGTGTTTTAAATGAATGTCTAAATGTGGGATTTAAATAGCATGACGAGAATATGGAGTTATAGCGTAGCTCTCGCGCGCGAAGAGCGCGCATCGGAGCACCATGGGTAAGAAAATTTGATAAACTGTCCATCCGAGAAAATTTGGTTACAACGTAGCGAACGAACGCCGACCGTCCGCACACCCACTACATGTAAGCCAATGTCAAGTGTCCTATTAGATCTTGCTCAATTATTGACACTAGCCTGTCAGTTACGTAAGCCATCTGTATGAGAATGAATTGACAGCTGTCAAAATCAGATATCCACTGACAATTATCACATGACCATCTCTCGGGCTCAGATGAAAAACTAGTCGTTTTGCCCCTACATTTAAGCTGATATAACGTAACACACTTACCAAAATATTAATGAAACTACACTTTCCCAGGACTGGGCTGTCAGTAGTTTAAAGCCATGTGCGCAAGCCAAATTAAGGTTAACTGACAGCTGTCAAAATGGGACCTGTGCAGACCTTTATCAGAAAATTAATAACGTGGGTTCAGGTACACGATCTGGCATTTCGCCACTACAAGCCGGGCTGAAATGTCTTACTCACACTCACAGTCGACAGTCCGTTTTGTTCGAATATTCGCCATTCTAATGAAGGTCAATTGAAAGCTGTCAAACTAGAGCATCCGCTGGCCGTCATCACCTGACTGTATCACGGGCTCATTTTTCTACCCATTGAGGTCACGTTTTTTTTGTTTTCCAGCAATATTTTATTTGATCACGGGCTCTATCCATCCCAGAAAATTTGGCAATCACGTGACCGTACACCGACCGCCTGACCGACCGCACCACAGGCATACTAATGTTTAATCTTACACTTTCTAGCTACAATAGTTTGGGAGTCTGTAGCCTGATATTGTACGTCCAGGTGACCATCCATGTTGTGATCAGTTGCGATAGCGGTCAAAACAGTGTATCGGCTGACCAGTACCGCCTGATCGTATTGCGCGCTCAGGTATCGACCCACTGAGTTCGAGTACTTTTTTGAAATTATCCGGTGTCAAGTTACTACTTTTTAAATGATCGCCGGCTCAAGTTCAATTTTTGTTAAATGCATGTGAATTCAGGTTATGGGCTCCTGGTGAAATAAGTTATGTTCATGAGCTGCTCCGTTAAAAATTTTGATTTGAAACTGACCTCGGACGCGAAAATTCATGCGGGGAAGTCGCTTTTGACTTTTTTCACCATGGTCACGCGTTGGTCACGCTCTTCTTTTAATTTTTATGCTCTGATTGGTCAGAATTTGACAGGTGAGTTCATGCGGAAAATGTATGCAGCATCTAGAAACTTGTTTTCTGATAGCTGAAGCTGACAGAGTTGTGTGTCGCCAACTTGTCACGTCTTTAACTATCTTTTTCCACTGGATGTACAAAATGAATACAGCTGCATCAAGATTCTTCTGTAATTCATGGCTGGTTTGTTTATTAAAGCGCTAAAAATCAGCCACAAAATGTGTCCAAAGTTTGTTTAAAAATATGCGTGGAATGTTAGAAATATCTCTTAAACAATAGAAGATAATGAGTTGAGACTTAATTTCACTTTGTGTTTG